GACCTCATTATCGATCTCGTTCAACCGACCTCGCTATCGACCTCGCCATCGACCTCGCCATCGACCTCATAAGACACCGCGCCACGGGACACAGAGGGACGCCACGTGACACCGCGGGACACTGGCGGGACACCCTCCGAGAGCCGCCGACCAGCCCAGTTTAGCCGCGGCAAAAGCGGGTTGCTTTCATTCCACTCGCCCGTCACCATCGATCTCATGACCGAGCCCTCTATCAATCCCACGGTCGATCTCGCTATCGGTCCCACTATGGATCGCCCAAGCGATCTCACAATCGATCTCGCCATCGATCTCGCTGAATCGCTTTTACGATCGGTGTCACGATCGACATTATTTTCGTCCTCGCTATCGATCCCACTCTCGATCTCACCACCGAACTCACATCAGAATTTTGAAACCATCTACTGAATGGGTTTTGTCTTTGGTATAATACAATGGAGACAGTTTTTCTGCGTTTCGCCAGGCGTAACCGCGCGCTCAAGCACGCAAAAACATGGGGGCGCAAATTCCTTCGGAGGCCCTGGACAACAATCCCGCAACCAAAATGTAAATACTTGTGTTTTACCGCTGGCTGGCGCTCCGGACGGTGCGAGACATGATCCTGGCACTTCTGTTCGATACGACGGTAAGTTTAGCAGTGAACTGGAGGCTATATTATCGGCTATTTCGGCCTGCGAACCCCCGACGTAGAGAAGCGCGACATGTTTCTAAGCGAAATTATTGAGCCTGCTGTCTCTGCTCTGGAAACCTGTCCCCCCACTTCACCCCAGATAGTTATACAGAACTTGGTTGTAGCACATTGCCAGGGGCGGCCTCTGAATGGCACGCTCGTCGCCGACGCCCCATCCCTTCCCAAAGAATGTTGCAACTTTAGCGCGTCGCCTCGAATGAAGTTGAGCTCCGTGTTCGCCGGCTGGCTTATGGACTCAACAATCCCACGGCCATGTTGCCGACGGGGGCGCGCTCTTCTTTTCTATCCGAGTTGAGCGAGACAGAGGTACCCAAGATTATTGATTATCAGGGACGTCTCGCAACTCATGCATCACCATGGGCACGCGGGTTTGTTCAGGATGCGAAGAGTCTAGGTCAACTGGGGCGGAACACTCTGAGACAATCGAGGGGTGGGGTCGTCCTCCCCTTCAACTCTGTGACAAACCTGAGCTATCTGACAAGTTTGGTCGACTTGACTTATCGCAACTCAGAGCGGCAACGTGGACAATGAGTACCCCCCCCCTGGATCCCAGGTCATTCCAATTTCCCCAGAAATTGATCCCCATGCCCGTCCATATGATGATAATGATTGCAGATGTTGTGTTACTGGTTGCGGAATACTCTTCGATACTAGACGCCACCGAACTAGCCACCTGCACCAACATCACGGGCTACAAAGCATCCTGCGGGAACGAACTACTAGTATCTAGTGCGTTCTTCTGGTCGGTCCTGGGAAAACAAGACTTCCGCCCACAAACAAATGGTGGAAGCCAGATACCTCCATAACCACAGGCGACGGTGATCACCATACTTACAGCAGCGCCACCTGTGCTCTCTGAAAAACAACTGGGTTCGAGAGACATCGTTTCCACCAACACCACCGTGATAACGTCACAACTTTGCCAATCGCACGCGATGCCAAAGGGCGAGCAGGCAGCAGCAGCGGCATCGGCAGCGCCATGGGCAGCGGCGGGGCCCGCACAATCGGCACCGGCGCTGGCTGTGACGCCGACAGCTTGGCGGCTCGAGCGGCCATCGTGGGCACCCCCGCCCAGCAAGGCCACAGGGCGACCAACTACCCCGCCCGCCGACGAGGCGCGCAACTAGAAGCAGAAAGGTTTCAACGGCATCAAGCTCCGACGGGGGAGATCATGAACTGCAAGCACTCGGGACCTCTCAAGGCGTTCATGGGGGTGCTCGCGAGAGTCTGCATCGCCGACAGAAGAGACATGGTCGACCTCATTGGCGCTTGCTTCAACTGCTTTCTCCTGCCGGTCGGCCATCCCGTGGTTCTGGCACACTCCTGGGGGCAGGCAAGCAATGCCACGAAAACAGGGACCACTGGTACGGCCCGCTGTGGACGCATATGTGGATGGCGCTGCTGCGAGCTCTTTCGAGCATGCTAGGGCGCCGCTGACAGCCAAGCAAGCTTTCCAGGTCTACTGGGACACGAACGTTGCAGGAGAGAGCTCCGCGATCATATTCGGTATTGTCGCCTTCGCCCGACGTGCTACAACAAGCGCAACAGGAGAAACCCAGGAATTACGAGCTCCGATTCATGCTGTGCGCGCAGCTCCACGCGGCACACATCAAGTTCAACGAGACCACGATCGGGACGGTGCACGAGGCAGTGTGCGAGGCGCTCCATGCGACCAGGGGGTGTACAAATCAGGAGGGCTGCCCAGGTCTGGAAAGGGAATCGGAGAAACTACTGGGGCGTCTCGGCATGAAAAAAGGAGGGGCGGAGGAGATCAGCGACGACGAGGCAGACGAGATGAGGACGAATAGTGGGCAGGCTCACGCACATCCCAGGATCAGAAAGAATGGTCCACATGACTCGTGAGGGCCAGCTCCAGGATCCTGGGCTGAGGGCGGCGCAGCGGCGTTGATCCATCCCTGTTGTTCAGTAGTCTGCGCCCCCTGTCTAAATCTCCTCGACCATTTTGTTATTCGCCTCTGCAGTTGCATGTTTCACTCACAGAAATGAACACTCGTACAGCCGAGACTCGTGCCATGCCTACGCGTGACTCTCAGGCGACGGTCACCACAGCAGGCGACAGACCACACCATCGGCTCATTCCAGTCGTTACCAGCAGTAGTGCAAATCCAGCCACACACCCTCCGAGCAGAGACGGTCGACGGTATGAGAGCCCGTGACCGCTGGTTGTCCCACATGCCGTCTCGTTTGTAGCTCGGAGGTTTTGTTATTACATGTTGTTTGATGCACTTGAGCTCAGTTGCATCGAGCCAGTCGCAGCTGACACTTCTTGAGGGGTCCACTCGTCGCCTATCATGTACATTGCAGGTGTGACGGTGCCTCGGCGAGGCCTCTAGGCTTCCCCGACAGAGGTCCTCGCATGTGGCCAGTGGCGTCACCGTGCAGAGCGTCCGAACCACAGTGCTGGCCCGCAAGCAGCTAATCCATATCCTCTTGCAGTTCAAGGCCGCTCTCTGCTCTTGCAGGTTTGACATGACAGGCAGAACTGGGTCGCGAGTGTGTCTTATCTTATATGATCCTCCTCCTCTCCTCTCCCCCTCTGGAGTCGTCCACCGCCCGCCGCCCCCTCAGCCGCCTGCGTCTGCACCTTCGAGGTGCCACGGCGGGTCGGCGACAGAGCGCGCAGACGACCAGAGCGGGGAGTTGGCCCGCAGGAGCTCACCCGATGGGGGAGAAAGCAGACCCAGCTGGACTCCGCAGGATCATCCGCTTGAGGTTTGCCTACTGCTAGTGTCGCCCCCGTGTGTTCCTCCCTCTCCTCATCTTCCCCGCCGCCGCCCCCCACCTCCCCCGCGCTGCTCCCAGCCCTTCCACACGCGCCCCTCGGCACGCCCCTCGCATCGTGCCCCCACGGCTATCTCCACCCACACGGGCTCTGGTGGCCGGTCCACATGCGTCCCGCCGCCCAGACGGGCACATCCCTCACACGGATCATGCCCAGAGGGGGGCTCCACCTGCGGCCCCAATTGGCGTGATAGTATGCGCCCCCATGTCCATGTCGGCAGACCCGATCAAAAGCATCGTGCTCCGCAGGCAGCGCCACCTACGGCACCAGTGGGCGCGATCGTGCGGGCTGCCCCACCCATTTCGGCACAACCCTCACACGAATCGTGCTCTACAGGAGAACTCCATTGAAGGCCCCGCTGGGCAAATTCGCAAAGATCGTGACCCACAGTGAGCACCATCTACAGCCCCAGCGGGTGAGCTCGCATGCGGGCCTCAGCCCATCTCGGAACACTCCTCAGGCGTGAGCCCCTCGCCCTTTCGACACACCCCTCACACGCTGCGTGTCCGAAAAGGGAGCCCCACCTACGGCCCACGTGGACGCGCGCGCATACTGCCCCAGGCCCATTTCGGCACACCCCTCACACGGTCCCCCCATACGGAGGTCCACCTACGGCCCCGACGTGCTTGTTCGCACGCCGCCCCTCGCCCATGTCGACACACCGCTCACACGCGTCGTGCCACCCCATATGGAGCTCCACATACGGCCCAAGTGAGCTCGCGCGCATGCCGATCCTAGGCCTATTTCGGCACACCCCTCACACGGATAGAGCTCCACAGGGGCCCGAACTTAATACGTCCTGCGGCGCGTAGTGTATGAGGAGAGGGCCACGCCTTGCGCTACACGCAGCTGCATACAGTAGTGCCCCTCTCCAGGCCATATGTCAACGACATCGAGCTTCCCACAGTCCGGCCTTCGTGAAACATTCCGTGGCCTCGGGACTAAACAACCACCCAGGCTGGAACATTTGCCATCGGGGCCACGTATTGCAGACATGTGTTCGAGGATATATGCATCGTGGCCTGTCGTTGTTTCCATCGGCGCCGAGTTGCCTCTCAGTGTTGTGCATCTATCTGAGGACTGCGAGGTCGGGAACCCAAGTCAGTGAAGCAAGTTTTCGTCCAGCCACGGTGATGGGGAGACTCGGTGAGGCATGCCAGGAGGCCGCGGAGAAAAATGCAGTTGGGGGCAAACACGCACCTGAAAGACAGACGGAAGTGGGCGCGGCGGAAACAGGGCGAGGGCCCGTAGCTCGGGCACACGCTGGACTGGATTACGGATCCGTGGATCTGGCGCGTGGGCGCCACATCCACAAATCGGGGATAGCACGCCCCGAACATGGCGCCAATACCGCCTGAATAGAAACGGGGCGCTTAGAATCTGCTTGAAAACGGGACCCGTCGGTAACCCACGCGCCTTGGTCCATGGTTGCGCTTCCTCGAACAGCAGCGAACGCTAACATGGGCAGGCGGGGCGGAAGGCAACAGCCCCTCGCATCTTGATCTTCATGGACCTCCACTCCTCGGCCTGGTGGCGCAGGAGGGAAGATGAGCCGAATCTGAGATTCGGGCACTGCTTCGTTCAAACGACGACGAGAACTTCTCAGCAATATGCACCCTCCCCATCCTTCTCCGTCTGATCGTCTTGCACACCACCGTCGTCATCCTCATCCTCTTGATCATCCTCTTGATCGTCGTGCACGGCTTTGGGGGGACCGAAGGTGAGCCAAATCCAAGCGCGCCAGCCAATGATGGGGGGACACCTGTGGGCTCGCACCAAAGGTCATTCCAGCAAGGGGCACTCTTAGGCGTTACGCACGCGCCCGCCCATGTGCAACATCCCCGGAGTTCCCGAAGTCCTCAGACCCCGAGGAGCCCCCAGAGACCCCAAGAACTCGGAGCCCCGCCGCCCCCACCCCAGCCCAGGAGAGGGGGCCTTGCGCAGAGCGACCGCGCGCTGCTTGAAGGCCGAGGATGAGTCCGCGAACTGGCTGGACTTCTGCGACAAGTTCACCTCCAGAGGAAGGAGCGATTCGTCTTTTCCCAGCTAGTCATCAAACGCTGCATGCTCGAGGTGCTCCAGCAAGGCGGCAGCGCCACGGACTTGGCACGCCTGGACAGAAATACTTCTCCTGGTCGGCGACCTTTTGGTGTCACGGAACACGAGGAAGGAGTGGATGGGGCCCTCGTCCCCAGACATGCCCGCGCCGTGGGCAGAATCACGGCGGAGAGCTTCTGGCTGCTTTCGGCCTGTGGGGACCTTCGTCGGGCCCCAGGGCTGTCAGAAATGGGATCGCGATGAAAAAGTGGCCCTGGGGAAGGGTCGGGACGTCCGGGGACCTCGTATGGAGCCAACATCCAGACATCGGAGGCCTAAGTCCTCCTCCTCCTCCTCCTCCTCCTCCTCCTCCTCATTATCCTCCCAGGCCCAAAGGTTGCTGGTCTTTGGAGGGGGGCGTCTCCTGTGGGCACAGAGGAGAGCTTGCAGGGACTGGGGAGGAGGAGGCTCGGGACGGGAGGATTATGCGCAGCAGCATCGGCGACGCATCCTGGGTTTATTTTTCTTCTTCTCCTCTTCCTCCTCCTCCTGCAGTCGGGTATGATGAGATGAACAGGGAGGACGGGAGGATGGGGTTAGCACATCATGTCCCGAAGCGAGTGCGCGGCCGAGGGGGGAAATGGGGCAGGGAACACTGTGAAAGTAGTAAATGAGGCCATGAAAGCTTCGAGATGCCATGGGCATGGTCATGATATCCACACAACTCCTAGCATTCATCCCCCTCTTGGACACCGCTGGTCCTCCCTCCCCCTTCTCCTCATCCTTCTCCTCCTACTCCTCCTCCTCCTCCTCTGGAACAGGCTCACTTCCGGAACGACGGGGGAACTGCCCACGATGTTCGAGAAGTGAGGATTGTAACTATTGAGGGTGTGTTTTGTATCGTGGCATCAGACACACACGTGTACATGAATATAATCGCATCTAACGTTTATTTAGGCATGTGCTGGATTACCCCCGAGAGCCTTCAGATCCCTCCAGAGGCTTCCAGAGGCCTTCGGGGATCTCCAGCGCAGGATCTGGCGCGGAACTGCAACTTTGTCGCACTCCCAAACGTTTGGGGGCAGGGCGGGTCGAACGTTCCATCTGAAACTTCCTCACCACTTATGATCGCGAAACTCGAAAATCGCAGGAGCTGCGCAAACGGAGGGCGACTCGTTGTTTGAAATGAGGCTCTCCGCTCCTCGCCGCGCAGATTCGTCTTACAAGCTTGCAACTGTCACAAACATAGGGGAGGGCGGTTGGCGCGATGGAAGTCGCGCCTTCGCGCCGCAAGCAGTCGTCTTGACAATTTGCAGCAGTTTCAAGGATGGAGGGCAGACTCCAACATGGTGCTCTCGCCGGATCGGCACGCACATTCTCCAATCAGCTTGCAGAGGGCACAAGGATTACAAGCATGGAGGTCAGCTCTCCTTCAAGATGAGACTCTCACATTCCTTGTTACTCGTAAGCAGGATGCAATGCAACTGCTGCAAGGGAAAAACGGGACTCTCGCGCGAACGGCAGGCCCATGGGGTGTTGGTATGTCGAGGGGGCGCTCCTTGCAGCGAGAAGCGAAGGCAGGGACTTGTGAGGGGGAGGGGGCTCAGTACAGGAGGGTCTGTTGCGGCATCATTGTGGTAATTCCATTTCTCTGTTCCTCTTTCTCCTACTCCTCGAGGTCTTGGGGGACGACGTTGAGAGGGGGGGCGCGGGGGAGGGAAAAGGGATGAGGTAGGAACGAGGGCGAAGAGCAGAGAAATGGAGGAGGGGGGAGGAGGAGGAGGAGGAGGAGGATGAATGAGATGGGAGAGTCTTTAGACTATGTCTTGGTGCTCTTTGATGTGTGCAAAAGGCTGCGAGGGATCTGCAAAGATTGTCGATTGATCATTTTCCCAGATGTGTTTGGAAGAGCCACGGGGAAGGATCAATATGCGACGAAGGAGATGGATCG